AAATCCCTTTGTGTTCTTCTCAATGAGATTTTCCCTATTTGTCTTGGTGATAAATGACACTGGACAGATGGAAAACCTAAAAAAACAAAAAAAAAACAAACACTTTACAGTTGTCATCTGGCTTTGAACCTGATTGAACCCACAGCCAGAACCACAAACCCTGAACTTGTAGGCAAAGCATGAGAACAATACTATTTTATGTTATATACCCAAGTTACAAAGTGAATGACAAATATTACCCATGGTGACAATTATAGACTTTACCATACAGAGAGAGACCCTCAGACTGTGCCATACATGCTTCACCATACATACACAATCATCACCCTGAACAAAGAAAGACACATGGGCAAGTTTTATTCCAGATACCTTCAGCAGCCATTGTGCCCTTGCTGGATGTCCAGTGTGTCCCTGTGCCTTTAAAGAGGGGTGGGTTCCCTCCAGGCAAACCTGCCCTTGATCTATCCAATGCTATTTGTGCTCAAATTTGGAAGACTCTCAAAATTATAGCATTAGAGTGCCTTGACATGGCTGCTGCAGCTTACACATATGTTTGGAAATATGTGCAACTAAACCCCTTGTTTTTAATGTGAACTGTTAGTTAATTTGGTTTTTGTTGCAGGCTAGTTGGTGAGCGAGCTGGGAATGTGCTCCTTGCTGTAAAGGCTAGTTATTGGATGGGGTGCTTGTCACTCGTTTGTATAGTTTAGTGAACTGGTGTGGGGACGCACTGAATACCTTCAGCTGCCATTGTGCCCTTGCTGGGTATTCCATGTGTCCCTCTACCTTTAAGGAGGGGTGGGCTCCCTCCAGGCAAACCTGTCTTTAATCTCAAGCAAACTGCACCGCACGAAGCTTAACACCTAAAAGTAGCTCCTGCTCCTTTCTGAGCAGCAAGCTTTGCACAATGCGGTTTGTCGTGATTGCAGCACGACAATCACGGCAGAGCCGCACCGCATTTTGGTGCCATTGAGAATGAATAGCACCTGAATAGACGTGGTGAGATTTGTCAATTTTGCAGAGCATTTTGGGATCGCAGACAGAGTCGCCTGAGATGGCAAACTCCCAGATGTGAACGAAGCCTTAATATTTAGACAATCATTAGCAATATTTGGACAATTAACCCTGCATCAAGGAATGCTTACTGAGCCGGTTAGCATATCATATAATAGAATCCCCAGACTCCACCAGTCTACTGCTCGGTTGTGTCCTTTGTGTGCCACGATTTCAGGTGCCCTAGAATTAAAAGTGGATAGTTAGCATACACTAAATTCATGACTACATCTTATATCAATGAATCACACTACTTCTTATTCTATAAAAAGGCAGATACTCTCTAAAGGGTGCCAAAGACAATATAGAGGTACAGTATAATCTACCACCTGTAAATCTTTATGTGCACAGATTATGGTACAGAGAAGCATGAATGTGGAATATGCATTTGACTGTCACATGAATCAGTTTATTCTGAGAAAACAGTAGCTTGTAGGCCAAGGTTAAACCACAGATACCATTAAAGGGTTAGTTCACCTAGTCTATGCAGATGAGGGGTGCCTGTAGATGAAAAACAATTGTACAGCTTTGAATAAATGCCCCTGCTGTAGGATTAAGCCATTGATTTACTGTACCTCCCGAAGCCAGGCTAAAAAACGGTCAGAGATGGCATGCTCCCATCCTGCCTTGTTACTAGATCTTTGCTACGATGATCCTTACCATTACTGCTCACCTCCACTATTACAGGAGCAGTCTTCTCCATCACAGCAATGCTGAGTTCAGAGCTACTGCAACAGCGAGCGTGTACACAATGAGCGATGAATCAGAGACCGCTCACTTCTGTGACAATGGGGGCATGTAAAGTGCCCAGGCTTTACAACGCTATGCTCACAAACATTTTTATCACTACTTCCAGCTGCAACTACATTCCAATGGCCAAAACACGCAGCATCTAATTGCATTTACAACTTGCAGAAAGATGTCTACTCTGCATTGCCCATGGCAATAAGATTTTTCTTTTAACCACTTCAAGTCCGGACACTTTCACCACCTTCCAGTCCAGGCCAATTTTCAGCTTTTAGTGCCATCACATTTAAATGACAATTGCACAGTCATGCAACACTGTACCCATATGAATTATTTTGCATTTTTTGAGACAAATAAAACTTTATTCTGGTGGTATTTATTCACCACTGGGATTTTTATTATTTTGCTATATAAATGAAGTCCAAAAATTTTTTTTTAAAAAAAGTTTTTTTCTTATAAAATTTTGCAAATAAATAATCTTTCTTCATAAATCTTGGCCAAAATGTATTAATCTATCTTTTTAGTAAAAATTAAAAAAAAAATAACCCAAAATTAGTTTATATCCAAAAATTATAATTTTTAAAAAAATGTTTTTAAATTTTAATTTTTTTTATATTATTTATGGATTTGGGTTTTTTTTTAACATACTGTCACCCTTGCAGTACAGTGTCACCATAACACTGTACTACTAGTGGGGGGTGATGAAGATTTTTTTTTTTTTTTCCTTTACACAGATTGCTTTTACACCCATAAAGGCTGTAAACGCAATAATTTTCTCCTGCTCTCTGGCTGCATTCCTGCAGCCATGGAGAAATAGTGTGCGAGCTGCGATTGGTCACTGCTTGTCACATGGTACAAGGCTGTTGTGAATAGCCCTGTACCATGTGATCTCTGTGATCATTCACAGATTTCACAAGTAGTAAGCAATGATGTCAGGAAGTGACATCTTGTTTACGACTGATCATGTGATCACCGATTGGCTAATCAGTGATCACATGAATAGGGACCTCACACACAGTACAACGATCTGTGTTCCACTGTGTCAAGAGGACACAGCGGGCACCAATCACTGTGCTGCTCACTCCCAGGGAGCGCGTACAGGCAATGGATGCGGGGGGATGTTTAGAAACGTCCACCCGCATCGGCAGTGCTCCTGTCCGGCCGTTTATCAACATGGGCTGGATGGGAAGAGGTTAAATCTGCTGGTGTAGTAGGGAACGAAAATGTGAATATGATTGGTTGAGGTTGGGTACTGCACTGTGTACTCTGCTCTTTGGCTTACCGAATAAGCCTTCAGGTATTCCCTTTTCTCAATTCTAGTGCAACATATGCTGTCAAATACATACATATATTCCACAGTTCCACAGAATGTGTGTGTCACACTGTCTCCATGAATGGACTCCTTGCACATTCCAAAGTCGGTGAGCTTAATGTGACCTAAAGGAAAGCACAAATAGTCAGCTATAATAAAAATGCAATCATTGCCTAAAAAAGGTGTCAGGGCCGTCTCTTAATGACTAGCAATACATTTACAGTATACATGTTTACTAATGGCTACAGACAGTGTATGCCCACCAAACATAGTAATCAGTACTGGGTGGCTGTTTTTTTAAAACTAAATGTAAATGGAAAATTCTCAGGCATACCATGTGCACTAAGCATGACATTTTCTGGCTTCAGATCCCTGTAGATGATCCCCAAAGAATGCAGGTGTCCAAGAGCCAAAGCAATCTCTGCTAAGTAGAAGCTACAAAATAAGCACAAAAAAAAAAAAAAAAAAATTTAAAGTGATTGTAAAGGGATTTTTTTCATACAAATTTAGTATATTTAACTGCCCGATCCTTTTCTCAGGTCCCCTGCTGGCGCTCCCAGCTCATCCCCCTTTCTAGTGCCCCCAGAACAAGCCTCCCACGCTGCACTGTGTATGTCCAGGCTAGGCCAGCTCACTCCTCATAGGCTGTGATTGACAGCAGCAGTAGCCAATGGCTCCTGATGCAGCCTCCATGGCCAGTGAGTAGAGAGAGACGCTGCTCTTGGGCACAGTGCTGGATCAAAGTCGGGCTCAGGTAAGTATTTTGATTTAGCTGGGAGGTGGGGATGCTGAACCCAAAAAGGGTTTTTATCTTTATATATTCTCTGCATAAAAAGACAAAAAAACAAAAAAAACAACAAAAAAACTCTTGCTTTTAGAACCACTTTAAAAATATTAATTTTTGGGAAAACAGTAAATTTTTTATCTTTGAGTCCACTGAGGGACATGAGAATTCAGCACCAGTTAGGTTAGGTTATACAGCCACCTACAGCAGGCTGAGAGACTGGCAAACAGAAAAGTCATAAGCCAGCCCCTTTATACCCTCTCTGCCACTCAGCATGCTGCAGTTTAGTGAGATAGCAAGCAAAAAAAAAAAAAACACAGTAAAAGCACAAAGCATCATCCATTAGGAGACACATGAATTCAGGGGGGCACCCAAAAGCAGACCGATAAGGGGTGGGCAACAGCCAGTAACAGATCCAAATTATTAGGAAGCATCTAGAACACAGATATACCTGAAAAAACAGTGTCTGAATTGGAGCAAGTGGGGGAACCCTAGCAGGACAGAGGACCTGCCAGGACCAGGGAAGAATCTTGGAGGATAAACCTAATTCCCTCAGTCCAGGACAGAGATGTCACCACTAAGAGGAATGACACTATGTAGAACAATGAGCCTTATTCAGTGCAAGACTGTGGAAACATACCAGCAGTCCACCAGAAGAGGTGGAACAACACAACCTGAAAAACAAAAATTATACCAAACAACAAAAATTTGTTGCTGTGGTCAACAATAAAGACCACTGGAATAAGTCTTAGAACAACAGAATGAAGTGAAAACAGGTGCACATGAAAATATCAGCTGTTCTACATGAGACAGCCTCATTCTCAAATCCTAATCCTCAGATTAGAAAAAGAAAGGTTCCATAATAATAGCAGAGCTTGCTGTGGTCATGCAAACGGTACAGACTGGTAAACAACAAGGTTTACCTTATTAGGGGCAAAAAAAACGAGGAAGGAAACTGATGGAACTTCCAAAATAGGCTGCACATCAGTGATAGGTCCTCTTCTATCTCCCAAAGATCAGGTCTCATGAGGGCCTCTGGATGTACTTGATTCCCATCAGTGGTACCAGCAGCAGAATCCCAGGGTCTTCAGCCTGCTGAAAATCCAGGGGACCACAGAGATATCCATCAATGAAAACTTTCTGCCAAGCAGGAGATGAGCACCACTCAATTACAGAATTCCCCCTTCTTCAATGTTGAGACCACAAGCGAAGGAGAGCCAGACGATTATGCCTTGTTTCTAAGGAGGTCAGCGCCGTCACACAGAGCACACTCAGTGTTGTCTAATGCAGACACCAAATCACTTGACCTGTCACAGGGAATGCTTGAAGACCTTCCCAGAGGTGAAGGCCCAGCAACATATAAGTAATATTCAACAGGGACCAGGTCAGACTACTGGGTCACAGGATTCCTCGATGAAGCCGGAGCGGTCTGTTCTGTAAAACCAGATTGAAATCCCACCAAGATATCTATCCCAGAATTCAGGTTCTCAGACATAGAAGGTGAGACTGAAAAAAAATCAACAGTATATATGTTTACTAATGTTACTAATAGAGACTACATTGAAAGGGGATTCCTCAATACCCCACAAGCCCTGAGAGTGGAAGAAGAGAAAATTCAGACAGAAGAGTAAGGGATTAATGCTTCACAGGGAGTGGAATTCCTAAGCAAGGTTTTAAGCTGAAAACCTCACCCAATGATCAGCTGCAGTTAACAACTCCACCACTTCAGAGGAATGGTCTGGCAGAAGCTTGCAGGTATCGTGCCTCTCCAAAGCGTTTGGACAACAAGAGTCCGGAAAATTTACCTTCTGAACATTCCGCAATGGGAATGCAAGAAAAAAGGCATCAGGGTGGACATATTTTGGATAACAAGAGCAGCCTTTGGAGGCCACTGCAAGGAGAGGTCCTTACTGGGGAAGGGGACAGCACAAACTGATCCCTGCTTACCTTTTGTATGTTAGAGGGTCCCTCAGCCAAGTGAAAAAGCTGGGGATACGGAGCACCACAAGGAATTCAACAAAATCTGAGGACAAGTAACACTTTTGAAAAGAGGCGTGCAAGTCTATGCAGGGTACTGTTCCTAAAGACAAATTTCCACAAAAGGTGGAAACAAGGAGTCTAATGCTGTAAAAAACCTGGACAGACCTGGGGAGATACATTACCGACTGTAGTAAGGACAGAAAAAAAAAAAAAAAAGGGAGACAGATGAGGGAGATGACAGACAAAAGGAGTGTGATCCAGGGGTTCATCAAACAACCAAATGTCAAGGAGGCAGACTACCAAAGGACCAATTCATATTTATAAACGGTCCCCTATTCAGAAGGCTTACCAAAGGAGTTGGCTAAGCTGTGGTCTTCCAGCCCTATAGCTTGGGAGGTAGATCTAAATTGGATCTGAAGTGGATGAAAGTAATTTGGGATTTCTCATCCCCTTCCACAGCTGTCCTGTACAATCTGGCCACCAGTGGCTTTCATAATGATGGTGTCAAGAGCAGGTCTGAAGAGAAAATGTCCCTCAAAGGGTAACTGGATCAGATGCCCCTTAGATGCTTCATTGGTCCTAAACCTGTAGTCAAAAGGGCCCTGCAAATTTTCACAGACATCAGTCTGTAAGACTCAAGTTTAGATGTTTGTAACCAATCTTTGCAACTAAAAGGCAGGGCACCCGACTATTTTAACGATTCCAGGAAATGGGGCCCTACCAGATTAAAAAGGTACTGTCAGGACCACATGATCAAAAGCCACACAAAGTCATTCAAACTTGGATTTTAAGGAAGGATCACCTTAACTGGTGGTGTGCCAGTTAAAAGTAGATCACTGGTGCATCACCAGTGGGAAAAGATCATGGTCATAAATTCCCATTCAAAAAAGGGAAAGAAAGTTCTCATATACTCTGAGATGGGGCCCATAAAACCTTAAGGGTGTTTCCATTCCTCTTAGAGAAAAGACCCAAATAGCAGATGTATTGAGAAGGTCTTTCCAGATGCAGGAGTTCTAAAAGATCCAAGGCTGGGAACAGCAGGCTGATCCTCTAGGTGCAAGGTAGTATGCACGGAATCTATAAAGTATGAAACAACCAAGAAAATCTGAGTCAGCTGCAGGAGACTGTGGTGACCCACAACACACACAGACTGTTGGGACTCTGAATCAGAGATAGTAACAAGGGTCGCAGACCCAACTTGAGCTAGGGACTTGGGATGTTTAGAGCTAGACTTTGCAGGGTGTGGCACCAGAGTGAACCCCTTCGGAAGAATGCTCCAGTATATGATGATCACAAGAAGATAGGAAGTCAAAAGTGGACAAGAAGGCCCTGTAGACATAGAAGAAGCCTTGGCCATACCCAACAGAGCAGAGACTCTGATGAGGATGATCCTATGACCAAAAGGGTCCCATATTGCAAGAGTCAGCTCCTTCTGGGGATGCTGGGTAAACTCCTCCAGAACCACAGCCAGTTCAGCAGGGTTTGGGTACTGACTCCACAGCTAGTGATGAAGAAATGTTCCAGATAACTGCTATGTAGAGACCAGCTCAAGCAGCATTGCAACCAGGAGTCCTCATTGAAGACACTAGGGAAAAACACACCAATAGCACAAAATCTTGAATCAAGTAACTAAGGGAGAAGACATGAAGCCAGCAAACAAGGACAAACTTAGTTGCCTGGTAACTTCATTTCCAGGAATCTTCCAGGCCAGCATATGAGAGAGTGAGTGGCTTCACCAAAAAAAGTGGAAACACCAGACTCGCATATAAATGAAAAGTGCAAGATCCCTGTTGGTCTCAAAAACAAAGCGTACCAAAAGGCAAGACATACAGTAGTATATGGATGGAGGAGAAACCTAATCCTCAAGTACCACCAGAGAATAGAAAATGTAAAATTATAAAGTTTCACCTTGGAGCCCCAAGTAGGGATTTTTGCCGGAGCAGCTGCAAGAGCTTTTTTTGCCTGACTGTCCATCCATAATAGTTACCTGGTCAAGGGGAACGCTGACCCATATGTCTTTTTTTTTAATAAAGCAGGCCCCCATGGCTCCACCCATGGTTTTCCCCATTCCAGTGTCTGTGAGCCCCTTATGCTAGGAGGCAGGCGGAAGCGACATCATTTACTAGCATCCAGGAACAACCAGTTAGGATGGAAGTGCGTCATTCGAAAACCAAAGATATAGTGGCTGCATGCATGAAACATGAGGGCTATACCAGCCGACCCAGTTGCTGCTGCACAGATTGAGAAGGAGTGAAAAAAAAAGCAACAAAACTAGGCATACCTGGAGAAGGAAGAGGGCAAGTCACAACTATTTCTAGTGCCACATATGATATCAATCTAGAAACAAAAATCCACATATACAGGAATCCTGTCAGTCACTGCAAGGAAATGAGGCATCTGAGTGCTGGCCAAAAAAAAAAAAAAATAATAATATTGTGCTACTGCTGAGCTGAGATCAACCCGTCCACTCTCTTTCCAGGGGAGAACCCACTAGGTCCACAAAAACCAAAAAGAGGGATAGTTAGCTTTCCAACTAAGAAAATGAGGAAACTTTGGGGGAAGAGTTTTAAATGAAAAAAATGTAAAAAAATAGAGAATATGTAAACCCAGCATTTCATATTCCTGATGTGTGCCTGCTGTACCATGAAAAAATATCCTGTTCTCTTTGTCTTGCTTACCTTTTGTGAAATCCCTAGTGTTCCTGCTTTCCCATTAAAAACTGACCACACCAAGAAGGGGAACACAGTGTGGTCAGTTCTCTAGCTGTGCTGGAAACTCAGCCTGCTCTCTTCCAATGATCAGACTTGCCCTGACCCACCTTCCTCCTGCACAGCCAGGGAAGTTCTGTGTACTGCTGTTTCTCCTCCCCCAGCTCTTATGCAGCTGAGAACAAATATTTTGCCTCTCATTTCTATTTTAAACTGAATGGGTTGTTTTACAAGGTAAGAGTTTACAAATCACTTTAAGAAACACAAAATATGCTTACAAACAGCACAAGCGACAAATCACGGTTGTTTAAAGTGTTTTATGCACCATCCTGAGAAAGTGGCTAATGCAGTGCCATGAAATGCGTTGACAGTGTTTTATATTATTCTGTGAGCAATAAATATAGAACCAATGAAGAATCCGTTTCTCAGCTTCTCCTTCATATTTGGGTGCCTCTGCTGACACCAGTTTCTCACCTTTTGAGGCTCATAAACCTTTTTTGCGAACACACCAGAATCCTGAGACTGCAGACCGTAGGAAAGTCTGGATCACCCCACTGAGCAGCAAAAAAGTGACAGACATAGGCCAGACATATTTTCTGCAGGCTTTTACTCCAGGTTGTCTGATGTCCCATTAGGGTGCTCAGAAACCTCACAGGTGCGAGTACACCATTGTAATTTACCTTTTCATCAGTTATTTCATCCAATTATCTGTCAAACTACTACAACATAAGGAACTCTCCCGCAGCCTCTGTCTCTTTTTTCTCCTCATCTTTGGAGGTACCCCAGATAGATGACTAATTTTATCAAGGTTTAATTTTTGATAACAAATGACTCACTACTCACACTCTCTATGCTGACTGATATACATACCAAGCTGTATCTTCCATAAAAATCCCTTCTCGCTCCAAGTGCAGGAACAGTTCTCCACCTGCAGTAACAACCAAAAGTACTCAAATTAGGAATAGCCAATCTGCTGACATATGCTAGGTCTTACATTCTAGTGTGTATATAGCAGCCACGTGGCTGGTCAGTTAGACTGCACAACCCTGTTTTTATTACGTACTTAAAGGACACCACTCACTTTGTAGACAAAAGAAATCTGTAAAGGAGTAAAGTAGAAAAGGTACGTACAAGTCTTTGCTCTTCCAAAAACCAGGTATTGCCATCGGCAAGTATTTTAAGATTTAATATTGTATAAAAAAGGTTTTGGCAGGAGTTAGGCTTTGAAGTACAGGCAGTCCCCGAGTTAAGTACATTCGGCTTACGTAATACTCATACTTACGTACACTTCCCTCGGGACCGGAAGTCAAGCTGTCAGCATTCTTGTGCAGCAAGCTGATAAGAGACTAGCTGATAAGAGACATCAGAGAGACATAAGAGACAGAGACATCCATTGCTCGTTACTTGTGGGGCTAGCAGTGTCTGCCCACTATCTCCAAAGTGATTTAAGACTGTCTGTCTGCACCTCCGGGGAGAGGAAAGGAGAGGCTGTCAGGCTGCTCACTGAAGTGATCCTCCGTCTGTGCAGGGGGGAGGGGGCAGCGTGTGCTGTGTAAAGGAGAGCAGAGTTCTCTCATACAGTACATTACAGTACAGTGTATTTTTACCCTGCAATAATGCCTCCAAAGCAAAAAGCTGATGCAAGTGCTGGCACAGCAAAGAAAAGAAAAACAATCTCCTTGGAAGATAAAGTAGAAATAATAAAGAGATCAGAGAGTGGTGAAAAATCATCATCCATTTGCAAAGCATATGGTTATGCTCCGTCAACAATTTCAACAATTTTAAAAGATAAGAGTAGAATAATGGAGCATGTAAAATGTAAAACATAAAAGTTAAATATGTTAAGGCAAACATGTGTCCAAGCTGCAGTTCTTATGCAAAAACACCAGTTTAGAGCCTCTTGAGGTTTTACTGCTTTCTGTAACCTTATTACAAAAACGTAATCTAATATCCTGTCGTTTGGTTAGTAGTTAGTGCTTATAAAAGTGCCTGATTCAACTTATGAACAAATTCGACTTATGAACAAACCTACAGTCCCTATCTTGTACGTAACCCGGGGACTGCCTGTACACCTAAACCCAAGAACAAATATATCTTATATATTGCAGCAAACTAGTACTCAGATGTTGCAGCTGCATTTATTTTTTTATTATTTTCACCTGGTAATCCTGCCAGTAACACACTTCTTGTCCTAGGTTAACAAGCTTACAACTGTATGTACAGCAACTACAGGTGAAACTCAAAAAATTAGAATATTGTGCAACAGTTCATTTATTTCAGTAATGCAACTTAAAAAGTGAAACGAATATATGAGATAGACTCATTACATGCAAAGCAAGATAGTTCAAGCCGTGATTTGTCATAATTGTGATGATTATGGCTTACAGCTCATGAAAACCCCAAATCCACAATCCCAGAAAATTAGAATATTACATGTAATCAATAAAACAAGGATTGTACATAGAACCGTATCGGACCTCTGAAAAGTAGAAGCATGCATATGTACTCAGTACTTGGTTTGGGCCCCTTTTGCAGCAATTACTGCCTCAATGCGGCGTGGCATGGAAGCTATCAGCCTGTGGCACTGCTGAGGTGTTATGGAAGACCAGGATGCTTCAATAGCGGCTTTCAGCTCTTCTGCATTGTTCGGTCTCATGTCTCTCATCTTTCTCTTGGCAATGCCCCATAGATTCTCTATGGGGTTCAGGTCAGGCGAGTTTGCTGGCCAATCAAGCACAGTAATCCCACAGTCATTGAACCAGGTTTTGGTGCTTTTGGCAGTGTGGGCAAGTCAGCATGCCCATAAAGCTCGTCTGCGGAAGGAAGCATGAAGTGCTCCAAAATCTCCTGGTAGACGGCTGCGTTGACCCTGGACTTAATGAAGCACAGTGGACCAACACCAGCAAAAGACATGGCTCCCCAAATCAACACAGACTGTAGAAACTTCACACTGGACTTCAAGCATCTTGCAGTGTGTGCCTCTCCATTCTCCCTCCATACTCTGGGACCTTGGTTTCCAAATGAGATGCAAAAGTTGCTCTCATCAGAAAAGAGGACTTTGGACCACTGAGCAACAGACCGGTCTGTTTTTCTTTAGCCCAGGTAAGACGCTTCTGACGTTTGTTGTTCTGGAGCGGCTTGACAAGAGGAATATGACATTTGAAGCCCATGTCCAGGATCCGGCTGTGTGTGGTGGCTCTTGATGCACTGACTCCAGCTTCAGTCCACTCCTTGTGAAAGTCCCCAACACTTTTGAATGGCCTTTTCCTGACAATCCTCTCCAGGCTGCGCTCATCCATGCTGCTTGTGCACTTTTTTCTTCCACACTTTCTATTAATGTGCTTTGATACAGCACTTTGGGAACATCCAACTTCTTTTGCAATTACCTTTTGAGGCTTTCCCTCCTTATGGAGGGTATCATTGATGGTTTGTGATTCCTACTGAACCAGACTGAGAGACCATTTAAAGGCTCAGGAACCCTTTGCAGGTGTTATGGCTTAATTAGCTGATTAGAGTGGGACACTGAGCCTAGAATATTGCACGTTTTCACAATATTCTAATTTTCTGAGATTGTGGATTTGAGGTTTTCATGAGCTGTAAGCCATAATTATCACAATTATGACAAATCATGGCTTGAACTATCTTGCTTTGCATGTAATGAGTCTCATATATTAGTTTCACCTTTTAAGTTGCATTACTGATATAAATGAACTTTTGCACGATATTCTAATTTTTTGAGTTTCACCTGTATGTAAGAACAGCATTAGATGGGACAGAGAGAGTGGGAAACTTTCAAGTAATTTAGGCCAACTGTAAGCTGGCATACTGAGACAGGCAGAGAGTGCCTGTCTCTGTACATTGTGTAGCAGATTGCACGTTTGTCATTACTAGCCTTTCCCTTCCCCACCTGTAACTGTTTTTTTTTTTTTTTTTTTTTTTTTAAATAGAACTTAATCCTTCTATCCTTCACAGTCAAGGAAGCGGCCATGGTGCTGCAAGTGATCAGCTTTGACACCAGCCATTTAATGGCTTGGCAGTTCCCTTGAGAACTAACAAACACACTAATAACTGGGACAATTATCACCAGAGGCTTGCTTTGAATGTGTTTTGGGAAACCATTAAATTGGTGGGTTTGGTTACACTTTACAGTAGAACTGAAGGCGTTAAAAAATAAATACAAGCATGCAGGCTATTCATTGCCAAAGAGACATTTCTCTTTAAATTAAAGAGACACTAAATGATCTTTCTTCTTGAAAAATAATCCATACACATCCATTACTTAATAGTCCTGTAATCTATTTTGCATTAAAGCATTTCTTCCTGTGTTTTCTTGCCTCCTTTAAACAGGCTCTGTAAGCACAGTCCATCTCAGGCGTGAGCAAGAAAGTGGTTACATTCCTACATACAGTGGGACTGTAGAGAATGAACATAGGAGTTTGGCGATTTGGAAAGGGCTGGGAGCAACTGAAAGTATTTTTGTGAGTTAAAGCAGTAGGAGGGCTCGTTCACACTTGACTGTTTTACCAACGCTTGCCAAACACCCCTATAGTGTTCGGCAAGCATTGGTCTGGCGTTTGCGGAGTGTTTGCCGAGCGTTAAAAAAAACACTCCGCAAACGCCTATAATGAAGTTTAAATTATTATACAGTATTTATAAAGCGCCAATAGTTCGCTCAGCGCTGTACATTACAAAGGGAGACAGAACATGTGACAGAACAATACCAATACAATGCAAAACATGAGGGGATCAAGGGCCCTGCTCTTTCGAGCTTACAATCTAGGAGGGAGGGGGTGGTGGCACAGGAGGAGATAGCTGTGGGGGATGGAGTGGTAGGAGGAGTGGAGGAGGTCGGCAAGTTAGCAGGGGGTGGGGTAGGCTTCCCTGAAGAGATAGGTTTTCAGGGTGCGCCTAAAGGAGAGGAGAGTAGGTGATAATCTGATGGGTTGGGGCAGGGAGTTCCAGAGGATGGGTGACACCCTGGAGAAGTCCTGGAGGCGGGCATGGGAGGAGGAGACCAGGGAACTAGAGAGAAGGAGGTCTTGTGAGGAGCGGAGTGTGCGTGCTGGGCGGTACTTGGATATTAGGTCAGAGATGTAGTACGGGGCAGTATGGTGGACAGCTTTGTACGTCAGCGTTAGGATTTTGAATTTGATCCGTTGCGCAATCGGAAGCCAGTGGAGGGATTGGCAGAGGGGGGTGGCGGAGACAGAGCGGTTAGAAAGGTGAATGAGTCTGGCAGCCGTGTTCAGGATGGACTGAAGAGGGGATAGCCAGCGGCGAGGCAGGTCAGTGAGGAGGGAGTTGCAGTAGTCGAGTCGTGATATGATGAGGGAGTGGATGAGCTGTTTAGTGGTTTCTGGGGTTAGGAACGTGCGGATTTTGGCGATGTTGCGGAGGTGGAGTCTGCACGAGTTTGTTAAAGATTGGACTTGGGGCTGGAAGGATAGGTTGGAGTCCAGAATGACACCCAGTACTCTGGCCTGCAGGGCGGGTTTGATGGTAGCGTTGTTGGATGTGACGGAGAAATCAATGGGGGGGGTGGTGTCCGGGCTGGGGGGAAGACAAGAAACTCGGTTTTGGAGAGGTTCAATTTAAGGAAGTGGAGCGACATCCAGTCTGATATGTCGCTCAGTAGGTGTGTGATTCGGGCGGAGACCAAGGGGGTGAGGTGGGGGGTTGAGAGATAGATTTGTGTGTCGTCGGCATAGAGGTGGTACTTGAAGCCGTGAGAGTGTATGAGTTGGCCAAGGGAGGAGGTATAGATGGAGAAGAGAAGGGGCCCGAGGACAGAGCCTTGAGGGACCCCAACAGAGAGGGGGAGTGAGGGGGAGGTGGTAGCATTATAGGTAACGCTGAAGGAGCGTTGTGACAGGTAGGATGAGAGCCAGATGAGAGCCAGCTCCACAAAGGCCACGCAACCATAGACTAGAATAGGAGGCTTCAACGCCTCCTGACTCGACCAGAGGCGTCCGTTTTGCTGCGACGCTCCCGTTAGAACAGCACCATGTGCTGCAATGTGCAGAATTGTCTGAGGCGTTTGGAAAGCGGTAAAAACCCTTCCCAAACGCCTCTCTGCCGCCTGCACACAACGCTAGTGTGAACGTAGCCGAATACATTTAGCCAAGGTTCACAGCTATGCAGCCGTGCAGACCGTGGTTTGCGTGGGCAAGACAGCCCATTTTTTTGAATAGGCTGCGACACACAGGGAAGAAGTCCCTGCACTACTTTTGAAATCGCAGCCCACACAGGAACTGAGGTTCCCAGTCCAGGAGTGATTTCCAGTGTGGGCGGCGTGTTTCACTATGTGGGTGATTGCAGCTCTGGGAATTTGTGTGGCTCATGCAGGTGTGAACCTAGCTTTAGTATACTGTAGCTTACCAACTCTCAGATGTTAAGGCTGCATTAGTTTTCTTTATTATGCTTTGATTCCTTTACTTTTTACCTGGTAACCTGGCCAGCAAGTCTGTTTTTCAACAGAACCAGCTCTCCTGCAAATATAGATGTTTTGGACACACAAATGACCAGTGGCAGGGGTGCTTATAATGATAAGCTTTTATTTATGAAAAACCTTTATCCCAAAAGGAAAAAAAAAAAAAAAAAAAACTGTTGCTGTAACGGCTTGTGTAAGATGGAGTTTGGCTTTGTTAGTGTATTTAAATCTGCTAATACATCTAACAATCCCCTCCCCCCAGACTGACAATGTTGCTGTCCAAAAAGGTGCCCCCTGTATTCCTTCATCCAGTGTGGGGGCACTCTAATACAGGAGGTGTGTTACTGGGCAGATCATCTACTGAAAACAGAGGGAAAAAGCCTAAAAAAAAAGAAAAAAAAAAAAAAAAAAAAAAAAAAACACTAATGCAGCCACCACATCTAATGATTGCTAAGCTGCAATATGTTACATTTTCAAAACAGCGTTTAGAATTACTTTACCAGAAGAAAAACACTTTATACACTAGGAAGAACAGTAACTACATGTTATGTTTTGTGAAGTAAAAAAAAAAAAGGAAAAAAGGAAAAAAAAAAAATGAAAATTACCACTGAGACACTCCAGAATGAGATAGAGTTTTCCATGGGTTTGAAATGCATACATGAGATCCACTATAAAGGGATGTCTGACAGATTCCAGGACGTTGCGTTCTGCTGTTGCATGCTCAGTGTCTTTAGCTTGACAAATCAGCTTGGCCTGTATAAAAAACAATATGTAAACTGCTGAATAAATACTTGGAAGCAAATATTTAATTTACTAAACAAATAAAGCCTCTTCTTCAAGAAAAAAAGAAAATACAGGGCTATTGGAATTGCTACACAGGTTGAACTGGATGGACTGGTGTCTTTTTTGAACCTTTCAGACTATGGGTCTGATTTACTAAAGGCAAATAGACTATGTACTTTGCAAACTGCAGTTGCACTCTGCAAGTACAGTTGCTCCAGAATTTAGTAAGTCAGGTAAAGCTTCACTTTGCAAAGAATACCCAATCACGTGCAGGGAAAAACAAAAGGAAGGAGCATATTTGCTTGCACATGATTGGATGATGCTCCTCAACAGAGCTTCTGCTAATTTACTAAGCTCTGGAGCAACTGCACTTACCAAAGTGCACAGCCTATTTGCCTTTAGTGAATCAAACCCTATGTAACGATGTAGCTCTTCAATAGGCACAGGCACAAAATTTGCTTTCATGTATGCCAACCAAAATAACTCAACACACAGCCATTAATGTCTAAACCGCTGGCAACAAAAGTAGGTAAAACCCTAAGTGAAAATGTCCAAATTGGGCCCAAAAAGTGTCAATATTTTGCATGGCCACCATTATTTTCCAGCACTGCCTTGACCCTCTTGGGCATGGAGTTCACCAGAGCTTCACAGGTTGCACTGGAGTCCTCTTCCACTCCTCCATGATGACAACATATAGCTGGTGGATGTTAGAGACCTTGCGCTCCTCCACCTTCTGTTTAAGGATGCCCCACAGATGCTTAATAGGATTTAGGTCTGGAGACATTCTTGGCTAGTCCATCACCTCAGCTTCTTTAGCAAGGCAGTGGTCATCTTGGAGGTGTGTTTGGGGTCGTTATGTTTGAATACTACCCTGTGGCCCAGTCTCTGAAGGGAGGGGATCATGCTCTGCTTCAGTATGTCACAGTACATGTTGGCATTCATGGTTCCCTCAATGAACTGTAGCTCCCTAGTGCCGGCAGCACTCATGCAGCCCCAGTCCATGACAATCCAACCACCATGTTTGACTATAGGCAAGACACACTTGTCTTTGTACTCCTCACCTGGTTGCTGCCACACACGCTTGACACCATCTGAACCAAATCAGTTTATCTTGGTCTCATCAGACCACAGGACCTGGTTCCAGTAATTCATGTCCTTAGTCTGCTTGTCTTCAGCAAACTGTTTGCGGGCTTTCTTGTGCATCACGTTTAGAAGAAGAGGCTTCCTTCTGGAACGACAGCCATGCAGACCAATTTGTTGCAGTGTGCGGCGTATGGTCCGAGCAATGACAGGCTGTTCCCCCTACCTCTTCAGCAATGCTGGCAGCACTCATACGTCTATTTCCCAAAGACAACCTCTGGATATGACGCGGAGCATGTGCACTCAACTTCTTTGGACAACCATGGAGAGACCTGTTCCGAGTGGAACCTGTCCTGTTATACCACTGTATGGTCTTGGCCGCCGTGCTGCAGCTCAGTTTCAGGGTCTTGCCAATCTACTTATAGCCTAGGCCATCTTTATGTAGAGCAACAATTCTTTTTTTTCAGACCCTCAGAGAGTTCTTTGCCATGAAGCGCCATGTTGAACTTCCAGTGACCAGTATGAGATCGTGAGAGCAATAACACCAAATTTAACACACCTGCTCCCCATTCACACCTGAGACCTTGTAACACTAACGAGTTACAGGACACGGGGGGGAGTGGCTAATTGGGCCCAATTTGGACATTTTCACTCAGGGGTGTACTCACTTTTGTTGCCAACAGTTTAGACATTAATGGCTGTGTGTTGAGTTATCTTGAGGGGACAGCAAATTTACACTGTTATACAAGCTGTACACTGACTACTTTACATTGTAACAACATACACACACACCTGGAGCCTGCTACAGAGTTCTGTGAAATCCGATGTAGAATGTTACAATTCTGAATGGTAATGATATTGAGGCCTTTGCAGTCAATGCATGGTCAAAGCATGCCATCTTTCTTTTGCACAAAGAAAGAAAAAAAAAAAAAAAAAAACCCGACCCCAGAGGGAGAATTGGATTTCCTGATAAACTCCTTTTGCAAGATTATGTGGATATACTCTAACATGGTTCTTATCTCAGAGATACAGACAGAATATACTTTATTTTGAGGCAGGAAAGTTCCAGGAAGAATTTCAGTGGGACAACTGTAGAGAAGAGGGAAGGGAAAAGGGAAGGCAGTCTGCAGCTCACAGCGCTGTGGTAGTTACTTGAGAACTACAAAATGGTACTTGTAGTTTCCCATTCAATACTATAAATGAGTAATGCGACTGGGCAGGTGGGGCCCCGTACTGCCATGTTTTTGTTGTTTTTTTTTTTTAATTTCGACAGCTAGTAGAGAGAAGATCCCATGCTAGCTGTCAAAGCAGGGGATAAGGAGGCCGGTCATTTCATAACATGTTGCACCCTAAATATGAATGTAACATATTATGAAATGTGAACTTAAACCTTTAACAGCAAAAAAACAGAGAAAAATCAGGCCTCCTGCTCTGCCAGTTGTAGCCGTACAGTGTGCAGGAGCTGTGTAAATCTCAGGAACCGATGGACAAAAATACAAATCCTTTGGCAGGTAAACCTGTTCTGTTGCGTATATGTATTTCATCAGCCTTAAACTAAACCAATATGTTTCATCAAAAAACAAAGTGATACTAAACCTTTAATTTTTTTTAATTAAAAGAAAAAGATGTTAATACTTACCTGCTCTGTACAAGGATATTGTAGAGAGGTGGATTACCTTCTCTCTTTAGGTCTTTTGCTGGCGCTGTCAGCTCCTCCTCTTCTCTGAGTACCCCCACAGCAAGCCGTGTGCTCTAGGGCACTCATGCAAGTGCACTCCTGAGTCACGCTGTGTGTGTACACAATCACACACAGCGTGGATCGATCACACCCCCTGCTCTCTCATTGAAGGATTTGACTGACATCAGTGTCAGTCTAGCCTGTGAGAAGGGGAAGAGAGTGCACATGGGCACAGCACTAAATTGAGAAAGGACTTGGGTAAGTATTTTGGGTGGAGGAAGAGTTAGTGGGGTGTTCTTTTCTTTAATGCAGGGAATGAATCGTGTAAAAAACGCTAACTTTAGAACCACTTTAAGTATGCTGTGCTTAAGTTAAGTCTTACCTTCTGCAACACCTTCATAGCGAAAATCTTGCCAGAATTGGAACCAATCACCTTCCTCACCTGAAATACCTGCAGAGAAGGAGACAACATCTTTAACACAAAAACTTATGGGTGTGGCTGCTATGAGCCTGTCATAAAAACTGAAAAGGGAAAAAAACAGTTGAGTCCACGGCATCTGACAGTTGCCAGGCGTGTATACTGCACTTCACAGGTACAGCAAGCAGTGTACAATAGAAAAAAAAAAAACCACAAGCAAAGCATGACCCAATTTGCTCCTGCAGGGGAAAAAATGCCTTCCTGATCCCTCGAGAGGCAATCGGATATTCCCTGGATTAACTTTACCTATATATGTTAGTATCCATTTATATTACGAATATCTAGGAAAGAATCCAGGCCTTTTTTAAAGCAATCCACTGAGCTGGATGTTGGCTGTCCAGATGTCTGCAAAAGCTTTGGAAAGTGGGGGTGTCCTTTCATGCAGAAAATGGTTTATTGGTGGGTTTGGGGTACTCTGAAACCCAAGATTGTTGGTGAACTAGGTAGCAGGCTAGGGTTAGGAAGCAGTGGTCTGAGGTTCCTCAGGGAATGTCATCTGGTTAGTAATTTACAGACTGAGCATCAAACAGAGCAATGTTGAGCTCAGTCCCTGCTTCTAGGGGATGAGAGACACAAAACTGCACATGCGTACTTGTGCGACGTTGAACGCTCATTCTTGTGATGCTGGTGGGTGTGTGCTCAATGTACACCATGCCCTAGCAACTAGTCAGGATGGGGAATGCGGACAATACACACATTTTTCTGTAGGCTGCAAATGGCCTACAGGTATAAACACTTACCTTAAGCAATACTTTTAAAACTGAATAGAGTATTTTAACCTATTGGGTCATTTGACAGCACATATCAGTTTTTTAAAAATATGAATGTAGCCTTTAAGGTCACTTAGATTCTGATTAAAGTCACAGATAGAGATCTTCGACTAAAAAAAAAAAAAAAAAAAAAAAAAAAAAAAAAAAAAAAAAAAAGTGTATTTATTCCTCCACTCTTCTGTTACAGCAGTTGCTAGAGGGCATTAACCATCTACGCACTCACAGAGCATTGGAGTGGGAGAGCAGGGAGAACATTTCCAGGAAGAAGAAAAAAAAACATATCTTACATTGCTTCAAGTGGCTAAAAACAACTAAAAATCATAACATATCGTGGTGAGAGACTATAAAGAGAAAGAAAAGAATGAGACTAAATCTGGGCTTTGGGGCCAAGTATCAGATCTAATGTCTATGCTATATTATTCAAAAGCAGGCTGTCAGGATCAGAAGATGTTAGCCATTAATGTACAGTTTAGTTGCCCTTTAAAAAGTCAAAGATCCATGTACCCATCAACAATTATGTTTTGTGAATGCTCTAAACTTCCTGCATGCAGTAATTGCTCAAGAATGATAAATAAGCTCATTATACACTCACCTTTCCATAGCTGCCATGTCCAAGTACTCGCAATATGTGAAAGCACTGCGGAGACAGGGTCTCTTGACCTGGGCAAATTCTGCTATCGGACAGGTCATACTCAGTACATGGGGAACCAGGCCTGGGAAGAATATATATTTATATTCAATTAAGCATATGTAGGTTTTTAGTTTCAGTATTTTTCCAATATTGTGTGAGCTTTTATTCTCCCGTTTCTCTTATATTGCAGATTGTGCAATTTGTGTGCAAACTCCTTTAGTTCTATCAACATCTACAGTATATAGTTTGGCAGATCTCAAGGTGTTAAATTTACCAACTACATCGTACACAAACTAAAAATCTCCTTCATGTATATCCAATAAGGTAAGCTCTTAAACTACATAGGTTTTGGCAAATATAAAAGAGACTGCAATTTGTGTGACATGCTGAAATGTCAGTGATCATGAGCAATCTCACAGCTAAACAAGCTTGGATTTCAACATTTCTACACACCAAAAGCAACATTGTATAGTGGTCTGGCATGCAACTAAACTCAAATGAGCCAACAGCAGCAAAGTAATACATACCTAAACCAAAGAACAAAAAAGTAACATTTTGCAGCTTATCAGTCCTTAAATAAAATCTCTGCGTTATTTTATTTTTTATGCCTTTTCTCCTTATTTTCACCTGCTAAGCAGTAACACACTTCCTGTTATAGGGTGACTACACTTACTGCATCTATACAGCAACATTGTTATATGGTGCAGGCCATAGTTGGAGCATTTTTTTTTTTTTAAATCAGTCAGCGAACTGAAATAAAAAACATAAAAGCAAAAACAAAAAACAAATGGATTCCCCCATTCACACAATCAAGGTGGATGGGGAAATTCCAATAAGTCAAACAAATCCTTTAAAGTGGAGCTTCACCCAAAAGGGGAAGTTCCGCCTTAAAACCTTTGGGGAGTGGGTACCCAAATTTGACAGGTACCCACTTCCACTTCGAGCGGAAGTTGTCCTCCCCCTCCCTCCCCGTAGTCTTCTGGGACACGTGACAGGTCCCAGAACACTATGGGGCCATTCACAAAGCGCAGCGCTACTTGCACATGTGCAGTGGTCACCAGGTTGTGAAGCCGCAAGCTGTCACAGCCGGGTGCCCACAATGAAGATGCTGGAGCCAGGGAGAGAAGACGGCCGGTGAAACCAGCGATGGTGAGGATACCGCTGGATCGTGGGACAGGTAAGTGTCTGTATTTTAAAGTCAGCAGCTACAGTTTTTGTAGCTGCTGACTTTTATTTTGTTTAAATCAACTGGAACTCTGCTTTAAGTAGCACTTGCACTTCTTTATAAAAAGGTACAGTGGTCTCTACCTTACAGCATAAAACACAGTGTAATAGACTATTGTATTTTGACAGCAGGACTCCTCCATCAGAATATACTGATCAGTGCTGCAGCCAAATGCCTGCAAAAATTTTCCCAACAAGCCCCTTTGAGAAGTTGAATCCTCCCTTCAGTTTTATTGTATTCTGACAGCAGGAACTCCTCCACTGACTGGCTGCAGGCACCAAATGAATGAAAATTTGCCAACAGTCCCATTCAAGAGCAGTCGACCATAAGATCGACTTCATCCAACGGCAATAGCCATAGATAGATCAAAATTCATTCAGACTGCTGAACTAGACATACTTTGATCCATCTATCACCGCAAATTCCACAAAGCAGCACTTAATTTCTGGAAGGGACACGCATTTTTTGCACTTTTCGAACAGATGTTAAAAAAAAAAAAAACTAAAAACTTTCAAATGTATTATTTATTTAAGGTACTTATATAGCGCCGTCAAGTGCTTTACATACAGTATATATTGTACATTCACATCAGTCCCTAACCCTCAAGGAGTATACAATCTAAGGTCCCTAACTCACTAGAGCGAATTTGGACAGGAATCAATTCACCTACCAGCATGTCTTTGGAGTGTGAAAGGAAACTGGAGTACCCAGAGGAAACTCATGCAGGCACAGGGAGAACATGCAAACTCCAGGCAGGTGGTGCCTTGGTGGAACCAACGACCCTAGTACTGCCAGGCGGAAGTGCTAACCATTTAGCCACTGTGCTGCCTACGTATATTTATATAGTCCAATAAGGAGCAAATTAGAAAAGTACTTATTAGGGTTTACAGTAACTTTAAATCTCACTGTAGAGTTAACCAATAAAATAGGTTATACAAAATCAGGATAACTGGTGTTTTAGAATAACGGCAGATCACTTGCAAGGAAAACTGAACTAAAGCAGAACTTCACTGTCTCAATCAACATTGACTGTTCTGAATTCTTATGTTGCTAGTAATTAGTAAGTAGATAGGAAAGTAAATCATATTTATTTATTTTAAAATTGGTTTGTCACATTATTTTAGTTTCTTCCTGGTTTCTATGCCTAGGCAAATGATGCCATACATCCCAGGAACCTTGAGGGAAGGAGGGGTTTTCTCAGCTAAGTACACCCTCCTGCCTGTATGCCTGAGCTAAGGGCAGATGGATTTCAGGAAGTAATTACTACATGAATCATCTGCCCTTACTCAAGATGGCTACAGCCAGAAAAGCAAGGGGGCATTTTTCAAAGTGATTTCTCAGGAAAAAAAAAAAAGCATGGGAGACATGGATGGATGGGCGAGTTTGCTTTAACTATTAAAAATAAATAGCACTTTTGGTTTGTGGTGCTCAGATGCAGTTTAGTCCTGCTTTAAGGTGTTTCCTGAAAAGACCTCTCCTGCTGCCCGCACTGCCAAACACTGTTGCAAAAAAAATAAATCTGTAGTCCTGCCTGAAGTGCTGTCTGAAGGCTCCGTAAACAACACTTCTGAGTGTTTTGACCTCCTGGTTCTCCATCAAACTTCCTTCTAACGGTCACAGTGGGGATGTAAGGGGCTGCATGGGCATCGGGGGGGGGGGGGGGGGGGGGGGGGGGGGGGGGGGGGGGGGGGGGGGGGGGGGGGGCTGTAGAGGTAAGTTGCTAAGGCAGCTCAATGGAGCAGAAAAGAACATATTCACAGTCCAAGCAGCAGGAGGGCGCCACAGAAAGCAGCAAATCTTCGAAAAATGAATAGTGACATCACCTTGCACATCCCTGCAGGTGATGTCACTATTCATTTTTCGAAGATTTGCTGCTTTCTGTGGCGCCCTCCTGCCGGGATGTGTGAATCAAGATACGACTACACATACTTTGGCAGGTAAAACAGCTAATTGATAAGAGAACCTTGATTTTTTTTTTAGTGCAAGCTCAGCTTTAGGTAGTTTGAGGCTGTTTGTTGCTTTTTTTTAACAAATAAATCTGTAGTTAAACTGTAAACACAAGAAAATCACCAATTATCATACTTACACATCGCAATTCCCAATGCCTTCGGTGTCATCATCCTGCAACAAAAGAATAAGATTTAGCGATTAACCACTTTTACTGCTGCAGGGCAGCCCTATATTATAATATTATACACACACACACACACACACACACACACACACACACACACACACACACACACGATTTTGCCATAGTTGGTGCGTGCCGGTAGCTCGCTTCAGCTGTGAACTCTTACAGCAGAAGCAGATCTGCAAGTCCCAGTGAATGGATGTTCGCTGGCACCCGCCAATCGTCGGGCAGGAGAAAGAAGAGTGCTCTGCCTAGGTAAATAAAGCAGAGCTCTGTTCTAACAGGTGGGGAAGTGAAAGGTCGTGTGTCCCTAAAAAGCAGGGAACGCAATCTTTCACTTCCCCTTGTAAAAGCACCACCTAGTGTATACCAAGTACATAGCTGGGAACACATCTAACCCTTTGATTGCCCTATATGTTAACCCCTTCCCATCCAGTATCATTAGTACACAGAGATCAGTGCATATTTTTAGCACTGATCACTGTATTAGTGTCACTGTTTCCCACAAAATCTCAGTTAATGTAAAAATGTCCACCGCAATATCGCATTCCCACTATAAGTTGCTGATCGCCGCCATTATTAGTATAACATTTAATTTTTTTTTTAAATTCCAGTATATGTCCAATAGATTGTAGACGCTATAACTTTTGCACAAACTAATCAATATGCACTTACGGCAGAGGTGATCACATAACACCAAAAGAATTTGTGGGAAAAATTACCATAAATTTAATTTATGTACAGCTTTGCATGACCGCACAATTGTCAGTTAAAGTAATGCAGTACCGTATTGCAAAAAATGGCATGGTCAGGAATGGGGGGTAAATCTACCACAGGCAAGTGGTTAATACAACAGTGGTAAGGGACAGGAACAGAATTAACCAGGCTGGTGAGTATAGGCATCCTGTAGTCTCTGATCCTCACTCATAAATGCAACTGGAGGTTTTCAATTTAGGAGCTCTAAGTGGCATCATGTGAAAAATCACTGTATCAAAAAGAGCAAAAAAAGATGAACTTTGGGGAAAAAATATTGTTGGACATTTGCCATGTTACATAGGTAGGTTGAAAAAAGATACAAGTTAATCTAGTTCAACCATTAGATGATTTGACTACATAAATTAAAAAAAACTGCCATACACAGAATTCTATACCTACAGTTGATCCAGAAGGAGGGGAAAAAAAAACCCAACAACAATAAAGCATGGGCCAATATGCTCCAGCGGAAAAATAAATTCCTTCCTCTTACCCTCTCCTCCTGTTGCCCCTGGATCAACAATCTCTGGTGTTATTACCTACAGTGGATATAAATAGTCTACAAGCCCCTGGTACAATGTCAGGTTTCTGTGATGTAAAATAATTAGACAAACACTTCAGAACTTTTTCCACCTTAAATGTAACCTATAAACTGTACTCAGTTGAACAATAAACTGAAATCTTTTAGGGGTGGTGTGGGGAGTAAACAAAAAACTAAAATAATGTGGTTGCATAAGTGTGCACACCCTCTTATAACTGGGGATGTAGCTGTGTTCAGAATTACACAATCTCATTCAAGATCATGTTAAATAGGAGTCAGTACACACCTGCCATCATTTAAAGTACCTCTGATTAACCCCAAATAAAGTTCAGCTGTTCTAGTAGGTCTTTCCTGACATTTTCTTAGTCACATCCTACAGCAAAAGCCATGGTCCACAAAAGAGCTTCCAAAGCATCAGAGGGATTGCATTGTTAAAAAGTGCAAAACTTTACATTTATCAACATTAAACCTCATTTGCCCTTTAGATTGTAAGTTCCATGAGCAGGGCCCTCCTATTGCCACTATATTGAGCTGTATTGTAGTTGTACTGTTCACCTTTATATTGTAAACCACTGTGTAAACTGTTGGGGCTATATAAATCCTATATAATAATTTGCCACAGTTGCCCAATTAAACAGTACATTGAGTTTGGCTTGTAAGTTGGAGACATCCTGTAAGGACGTTATTCCAATGAAAAAGCATCATCCTGGTATCAAAATTTCCCACTGGCGATTCCCTCCAAGGCAGAAGTGATCCGAGTGGCTGAACTGCAGGCGGCGCAAGGGGATTAAAAAAAAAAAAAAAAAAAAAAAAAAAAAAAAGGTATTATATAGTGTTTGTGTGCAATACCATGTTACATAAAAAAATTGCAACAACCACCATTCTATTCTCTAGGGCCACTGCAAAAAAGAAAAAAAAAATAAATAAATATTATACACACACACACTTGCCAAAAGTATTAGGACGCCTGCCTTTACACGCACATGAACTTTAATGGCATCCAGGTCTTATGCAGGCCATAGACGGGGAGAAAACCGGACGAAAATTCGGCTGATTTGCGGATCGTTAGTGGCTGAATTGATTGGCCGGTTTTCTTGATTTTGACACATTTTTTTTTAATCATTCATGTCGGGAAAAAAAAAAAACGGCCAATTTTGCCCATCGCCCGATTTTCACGGCAATGATGGGCAAATCGGACGATCTTTTTCCCGATTAAAAAAATGCGCATGAGCCGTGACTAAAAGAAAAAGAAGAACATCTGTATCTATTTGTATCCATACAAATAGATACAATGTTTGCAACCTCAATACTTAGAAACGTCAAATCTATTAGCGGTGTCCCTGCAGAGAGCTCCGCTATGATATTTGACATTTAAAAGTATAAGGGTTGCAACATTGTATCTATTTGTATCCGAATATAAACATCTGTATCCGAAATCGATACAAATAGATACAATTATGCAACTTTTAATTCTTATTATTGATATTCTATTTCTTCTTCTTTTAAATATATAGCAGAGCTCTCTGCAGGGACACCGCTATTATATTAATTGCAGGCCGTAGACGGGACAAAAATCAGCCGACTTGTTTTTACCAATGGTGGTAACGTTGGCTGATTGAACAACCGATTTTTTGTTTTTCTAAAAGAAAAAAAAACGTCCGGTTTTTCTCCCTGTCTATGGCCTGCTTTAGTCCGTAGGGTTCAATACTGAGTTGGCCCGGCCTTTGCAGCTATAACATCTTCAACTCTTCTGGGAAGGCTGTCCACAAAGTTTAGGAGTGTGTCTATGCGAATGTTTGACCATTCTTCCAGAAGCGCATTTGTGAGGTCAGGCACTGATGTCTGACGAGAAGGCCTGGCTCGCAGTCTACACTCTAATTCATCCCAAAAGGGTTGAGGTCAGGACTCTGTGCAGGCCAGTCAAGTTCCTTCACCCCAAACTCGCTCATCCATGTCTTTACGGACCTTGCTTTGTGCACTGGTGCGCAGTCATGTTGGAACAGGAAGGGGCCATCCCCAAACTCTTCCCACAAAGTTGGGAGCATGAAATTGTCCAAAATGTCTTGGTATGCTGATGCGGAGTTCCTTTCACTGGTGATGTAAGGTTTGGATGCAGCTGCTCGGCCATGGAAACCCATTCCATGAAGCTCTCTGTGCACGGTTGTGCTAATCTGAAGGCCACACCAAGTTTGGAGGTCTTTAGCTATTGACTCTGCAGACAGTTGGCCACTTCTGCGCACTTCAGCATGCGTTGACCCCGCTCTGTCATTTTACGTGGCATACCACTTTGTGGCTGAGTTGCTGTTGTTCCCAGTCACTTCCATTTTGTTATAATCCCACTAACAGTTGACCGTGGAATATTTAGTAGCAAGGAAATGTTACAGATGGACTTATTGCACAGGTGGCAACCTATCACGATACCACGTTTGAAATCACTGAGCTCCTGAAAGTGACCCAATTCTTTCACAAATGTTTGTAGAAGCAGTCTGCATGCCTAGGTACTTGATTTTATACACTTGTGGCCATGGAGGTGATTGGAACACCTGAATCCAATGATTTGGAGGGCTGACCCAATACTTTTGGCAATAAGTGTTTGTATATGTGTTCTAAGTAATTTTCCAGCAAAAAATACAGATTTTTACATTTAGGAGAGAAATCAGATTTGGCCCAGTAGGTAAGTGGTTAATAAAGAGAATGCATTAGGTTAAAACAAACATCAGCCTTCAGAACCACTTTAGTGATGACTGAAGGAGTTTAGTTCCGCTTTAAAGCGACAGTAAACCACCATAAGAGGAAAAAAAAAAGCCCCCAAAAAACAAAAAAATTGGTCCCCCTGCATCACATAGTAGCACATTATGACAGACGTGCAAATGGAGCCCTCCAGCACAGCGCTGTCATGGCTCCCAGGCACTACCATCTTCGTGGACTCCGGCTGCATGAATGAACGGGTCTACGATAACATCACTCCTGCATGCAGAAGCCCCGGCCCCAGAATGGAGCTCTGAAACTGCAGCACGGGTATGCCGTCCCTTCAAAGCGCATGTGCCAGTGACATCACTGGCTGTATCCCATGTGAACATCTCTTACACAGTGCAAGTTTAGGAGATATTCACTGTACCTACAGGTAAGTCTTTATAGGCTTAGCTGTAGGTACAAGTTAAAAAGTGGACTTTACTACCACTTTAAGAGGGGCAATCAACCTGTGGCTCAACCACCTGTTTTTACCACCTCTGACCACAAATGACAAACTAGGTTGAAGAGTTTTACCAACAAACATGAGACACCCATTGTTAGAGGGCATTTATTTTTGCACAGCATATGTTCAAAAAATGTTTTCATTTCTCTGGAGTTCAGATTTTCTTTGTCCCCTACAATGACACTTCACATGACTGATAACCACCTTACACCTGCAGGGCCATACACTCCAAGCCACCCACTCACAATAGTACAGCACTCAGTGATGTCAGAGCTCCTGATCTATAATAATAATGATAATAATTACATTACCACTTGCCGTCCTGAGGATTTACCCCCTTCCTGACCAGGCCATTATTTGCGTTACCGCGCTACATTACTTTAACTGACAATTGCGCAGTCATCCAACACTGCACCAAAATGAAATTTACGTCCTTTTTTCCCCACAAATGGAGCTTTCTTTCAGTGTATTTCATCGCCTGTGCGGTTTTTATTTTTTGAGCTATAAAAAATACCGACAAATTTGAAAAGAAAACAATATTTTTGACTTTTTTCTATTAAACACGTCCAGTAAAATAAATTAAAAAAATCAAATTTTGTCAGAAATTTACACCAAAATGTATTCTGCTGCATGTCTTTGCTAAAAAAAATCCAAATACATGTAAATTAATTGGTTTACGTGAAAGTTACAAATGGCGGTATACATACTGCTGGGACCCGGTGATTGACAGCTGCGGCTGCGAATGGCAGCACGGGTAGGGTGTGCGCCCCCTAGCCAGAAATGCAAAATAACTTTGCACAACCCGTGCCGCCCTGTAGCAGTATTTCTGCTATAGGGTGGACAGGCAGCAGTTAATTATTATTATTAATAAACAACTTTATGTTATATAGCACCTTTAACCGCTTCCCCTCCCCAGACACACAGCACACAGTTAACCCTTTGATCGCCCCAGATGTTAACCCCTTCCTGCCCAGTGCCATTAGTACAGTGTCGGTGCTTTTTATTAGCACTGATCACTGTATTGGTGTCACTGGGGATGTCAGTGACACCAAGTCAGTTCCTCCCAGTGTCAGAATGTCCGTCGCTGGCTGGCTATGACGCTAATCATCGCCATTACTAGTAAAAATTAACAAAAAAAAAAATTCCAGTACATATACACACCACCATTTGTAAATGCTATAAATTTCACATAAACCAATTAATTTACACGTATTGGGATTTTTTTAGCAAAGAAATGTCACAGAATACATTTTGGCTTAAGTTTATGATAAAACTTGATTTTTTTAAATTTTTTTACTTGACATGTTTTAATAGCAAAAAGTAAAAAATATTGTTTTTTTTCTCAAAATTGTCAGTCTTCTTTTTTTATAGCGCAAAAAATAACGCACAGGCGATTAAATACCACTAAAAGAAAGCTCTATTTGTGGGGAAAATTTCTTGAGTGGAGTGTTGCAAGACCGCGTAATTGTCAGTTTAAAGTGCGCCGTAACACAAAAAATGGCCTGGTTAGGAAGGAGGGTAAATCCTCTAAAGTGCAAGTGGTTAAAGACCACTTCAAAAACCACTTTACAAAGACAAAAGTAACAAAAACACAAGAAATACACAGGATAAAACAAAACCAACAACGGGATATACCCAGGAGGGTCAGCAGTACATTCATGGAAATGTCATTTAGGTAAATATTATGACATTGAACCACGCCCACATACACACCACACCAGCCCACCTGAGGCTGAGCCATTCAGCTTTGAGTATCTTCAATAGCCCCTCCCCATGGTATCACCACCCCCTCCCTGTGAGACCCTCCGCTCCCCGCCTCAGCAACGCTCGGCTTCCCATGTCCCTCACCAGCTCGTTTTCCTCATCCCTCTCCTCCGTTTCCAGATCCAGATCAAAGACCGCAGCCATCGCGGCAGCAGGACCGGAACAAAAAGGACTCCTGATTTCCGGGATCCGGTAAATATCACCATAGCCTCGATCCCTCGCCAGGTGTAACCAGCTGTATGTATTAATTTCCTGTCTTCGGGAGCGGAGGCGTTGCATTCCCTATACCCTATGATACTTGGTCTCCAGTATCATGGCGTCACGCATTGACTCCGCTCAAACAAGTTGGAGACACTTTTGGTTTTCACTCAGCTGGATTAGTCACTTTTAAAAAGAATGAGATGCTGCCCCCTAGAGGAGAGTTAGAGGAGTGCAGGAAATCTATGGACACTTGCTAATTAGCATTCATAGAGTAGAAACCTATGATTAGGACACAGCTTGCCTCACAGAATAAAATCTTTTAAAAGTCTTATATTAAGAAGGAAAATAAATGTAATCTCCAAGCACGGAAAGGTTTCTTCACAGTAAGAGCTGTGAAAATGTGGAATAGACTCCCTCACGAGTTGGTTCTGGCCAGCTTAGTGGATTGCTTTAAAAAAATTCTGGATTCTTTCCTAGATACACAAAATATAACTGGATACTAACATTTATAGGTAAAGTTGATCCAGGGAATATCAGATTGCCTCTCGGGGGATCAGGAAGGAATTTTTTCCCCTGCAGGAGCAAATAGGATCATGCTTTGCTGGGTTTTTTACCTTCCTCTGGATCAACTGTGGGTATAGAATTATAACTTTTTTTTTTTTTTGAACTGGATGGACTTTTGTCTTTTTTTCAGCCAGAGTAACTATGTAACTTGAGATTGTATTGAAGTGTACAAATTTAAATTAGCCTCAGAACCTGTGTCATTAATATGTGTTCTGTTTTATAGGGATGAGGTGGCAACCCTACCTACACTCTGCTTCACTTACTACTGACCTCTGCACCATGTGTCACTTACTACTGACCTCTTCACTGTGTGTCCCTTACTACTGACCTCTGCTCTCTGAGTCCCTTACTACTGACCTCTGCTCTCTGAGTCCCTTACTACTGACCTCTGCTCTCTGAGTCCCTTACTACTGACCTCTGCACTCTGCATCCCTTATTACTGACCTCTGTGTCACTACTATGCTAACCTCTGCACTCTGCATTACTTACTCTTGATACTAGTGATACTCCACATCACTTACTACTGACCTCTGCACCATGTGTCACTTACTACTGACCTCTTCACTCTGTGTCCCTTACTACTTACCTCTGCAGTCTGTGTCTCTTACTACTGACCTCTGCACTCTGCATTCCTTATTACTGACCTCTGTGTCACTACTAACCTCTGCACTCTGCATTACTTACTCTTGATACCAGTGATACTCCACATCACTTACTACTGACCTCTGCACCATGTGTCACTTACTACTGACCTCTGCACCATGTGTCACTTACTACTGACCTCTTCACTCTGTGTCCCTTACTACTGACCTCTGCTCTCTGAGTCCCTTACTACTGACCTCTGCTCTCTGAGTCCCTTACTACTGACCTCTGCTCTCTGAGTCCCTTACTACTGACCTCTGCACTCTGCATCCCTTATTACTGACCTCTGCGTCACTACTAACCTCTGCACTCTGCATTACTTACTCTTGATACTAGTGATACTCCACATCACTTACTACTGACCTCTGCACTCTGCATCACTTACTATTGATACAAGTGATACTCCACATCACTTACTACTTACTTATGCACCCTGCGTCACTACTGAACCTCTGTACTCTGCGTCCCTTACTACTGACCTCTGCATTACTTACTACTGACCTCTGTACTCCACATCACTTTACTACTGACCTCTGCACTCTGCATCATTTACTATTGATACTAGTGATACTCCACATCACTTACTACTTACTTATGCACCCTGTGTCACCACTGAACCTCTGTACTCTGCATCCCTTACTACTGACCTCTGCATCAATTACTACTGACCTCTGTACTCCACATCCCTTACTACTGACCTCTGCACTCTGCATCACTTACTACTGACTGTACACTCTGTATCACTTACTACTGACCTCTACACTCTGCATCACTTACTACACAACCTCTACACGCTGCATCACTTCCTACACAACCTCTACACTCTGCATCACTTACTACTGACCTCTACACTCTGCATCACTTACTACTAACCTCTATACTCTGCATCACTTACTACTGACCTCTACACTCTGCATCACTTACTACATAACCTCTATACTCTGCATCACTTACTACTGACCTCTACACACTGTATCTCCTACTACTGACCTCTGCACTTTGCATCCCTCACTATTGACCCTCTGACAGGAAGGGGTGGAGGTGAAATGGCTTTTTGGGTGAGGTAGAAGATAGGGTTGGGTTGCTCATTCTTTAAAGATAGTTATTAAGAGGTCATACAATAAATTACCGTATCACCCAGTAAATGGTCTCCATTCAGTAGCCAAAAAAGGCATACAAAAAAAGAGGGGGTTGTGAAAAGAAATTCACAAAGAAAGCGGCTACATAACATTATGAACAGAATGTGATACTCAGAAAAATTTCCAAAAATTATGCTTTATTACACATACAAATTTAACATATGGGCAATCGCCCTGGTTTACCATCACCTCAGTATGAGACAATACACACAGACCTAAAAACCATATAAAATGACACCAGTACTAGTGATCGGTCTAAATACATGTGCAAACAAGGACAATGACTACAAGAGTCTAAAGTCCCTGTGGCACTGGCGCATAGGTGAACACTTCCCAAAGGAGGTGTATACAAAAAATTATACCATAGGTATACCATAACACGTGTTATAAATGTGTAGACTATGCTACTACCAGAGTGGTTATATCCCAAACAGGGAGTTTTCAAAAAATTATACCATAGATATAAAATATCACATGTATGCAACACAGCAAGCACAGTATGCGTCAAAAAGAAGGCATGCCTCTAGGCCTATATGAAACAAAACATAAATGTCATGTAAATGATGCAGTACATTCCTATGCCGGCACAAGTGGTTGGGGGCCCATTCATCTGTGATTATTACCAGCTGTTTCCTAGGGCTCTTGAATAAAAATATGCCCCATTTTTTTACCAGGATGGAAGGATAGATGCATAAAGCAGCGCACTGCTTGAAATGGTTTCTTCACCACTACATGTGGACTACATACCACTTTCTGTGAGAAAAACAAGACACATCCCAATAGATCTTCTGCCTGTTGAAATACATGTGGTATATCTTGTTTCCTATACAAAGCACCATGATGTCCCCATCCTGTAGTGAAACAGACAATATGTGGAAAGTCACTGAAAGAGCTTACACTCTATATAGGATATATAGGTCATATATGTCACATAGGACCATATATCTAGTGTCCTGCAACAGTCCACTCACCACCTGTGCAATGGATAATAGGAGAGGAAAGAATATCCTTCATAGGTACTGCCATACAAGGCCGAGGAGGCCAGGGAGCCACCGCTGACATCCGCCGATATACCGCGGGCTCCAGCCTCTTCTTGGCGCCTGTGCTGCCTAGGCTTGCCTCATGGCATGTGAAAATGGCTTCCTCCTTGTAGGTCAGCGTGCGTTCCACCTAATGCGCATGACCGGAAGTGACGTATCTGACGTATGACGTCAACGCGTTTCGCCGATGGGCGTATCTCACTCAGCTTCGTCAGGACCAATGGGGCATATTTTTATTCAAGAGCCCTAGGAAACAGCTGGTAATAATCACAGATGAATGGGCCCCAACCACTTGTGCCGACATAGGAATGTACTGCATCATTTACATGACATTTATGTTTTGTTTCATATAGGCCTAGAGGCATGCCTTCTTTTTGACGCATACTGTGCTTGCTGTGTTGCATACATGTGATATTTATATCCATGGTATAATTTTTTGAAACTCCCTGTTTGGGATATAACCACTCTGGTAGTAGCATAGTCTACACATTTATAACACATGTTATGGTATACCTATGGTATAATTTTTTGTATACACCTCCTTTGGGAAGTGTTCACCTATGCGCCAGTGCCACAGGGACTTTAGACTCTTGTAGTCATTGTCCTTGTTGCACATGTATTTAGACCGGTACTGGTGTCATTTTATATGGTTTTAGGTCTGTGTGTATTGTCTCATACTGAGGTGATGGTAAACCAGGGCGATTGCCCATATGTTAAATTTGTATGTGTAATAAAGCATAATTTTTGGAAATTTTTCTGAGTATCACATTCTGTTCATAATGTAGCCACTTTCTTTGTGAATTTCTTTTCACAACCCCTCTTTTTTTGTTTGGGTTGCTCATTCTCCCTGATCTGAGGGGAAAGAGGACTTCTGTGGTAGCTCTTCATGAATGGGCCTGGTTTGTTTCCCCATCCCGACTTCTCTCATGATTAATATTTTTTTGCCCTCACACTTGGAGTCCAGGTTTTTTTTTTAGCCGTGCATTTTGTACTAGTAGAAGAATTTCCACCTTTTATCTGGAGTGTGCTTTGAGCATTGGTGACAACCCTAGATGCCATCCTCCACCGAGCAGACGGGATGGTGTCCTCAGAACACACAATTATGGGGAACTATTTCTGCACTGCAGAGTTCCTGGTTGAGACATTTAGAGCAGGTAGGCTGTTGTGGCTAATGCTTCTCAGACCCTGGATGGTTCCTCCGCTTCACCCAGCTGCCTGAGGGTATCCCTGAGCAAGGGAACCCAAGAGCTGCCGACTGAACAGTCCCAGATGAGAAGCTAGTTGGGTCTTGCACCTGACCGCCCTCTCCCCTTATCTGGTCCAGGGGGTGTCAGAGTCCTCACACTGTCCTCTCCTGATAGCTTGGTGGGTTGGTGGCTTCCTTCAGGCCTTACACTGGGCTGGCTACTTCCCTACTACACAGGCTGTCCTCCCCAAACGACGTTGAGGCAGTGGAGATCCTCCTTTCCAGCGACCTGGCTGTAGGTGGGCTCCCCTCCCTGGGGCCCCATCCCAGGCTCCACACTCCAGCCTTTCGCAATTCATCTTCCACCCAACACTGCTCACCCATCCAGGCTCTGCCACATTTGAGGGTTGCCCTCATCACCATGCCCAGCCTCCTGCCAGGGATTGGCCAGAGTCCTCCAAACATGCAGATCTG